CCTGCTACGAGTTCTGTGCCCAAAGAAGTAAGCAATGTCTCAACTTCAGATTCTGACAAGTTCGTATACCAAATTCTCAATGGTCCTAACGAACATTGCCTCGAGAATTTCCGTATGGATAAACCTGTCTTCTACAAACTATGTGATATCTTGCAAACCAGAGGCTTATTACGTCACACGAATCGAATCAAGATTGAGGAACAATTAGCAATCTTCTTGTTCATCATTGGTCATAATCTTCGAACTAGAGCTGTTCAAGAACTGTTCAGATACTCTGGAGAAACAATCAGTCGCCATTTCAACAATGTGTTGAATGCAGTCATGTCAATCTCTATGGATTTCTTCCAATCCAATCCAAATTCTGATGAAACCGGCCTCGAGGATGATCCTAGATTCTATCCTTATTTCAAAGACTGTGTTGGAGTTGTTGATTGCATACAGATACCGGTGATGGTTGGAGTTGACGAGCAAGGTCCATTTCGAAACTGCAATGGACTTCTTACTCAGAATGTTCTTGTAGCTTCTTCTTTTAATCTCAGATTCCACTATGTGTTAGCTGGTTGGGAAGGATCAGCTTCTGATCAACACGTTCTCAATGCAGCTTTGACTCGGCGTAACAAGTTACAAGTCCCTCAAGGTATGCTTGTGTGTCTTATGTTTGCTTTTCTTGAGAAGGCGTAAACTAACACCTATGTACGATGCAGGAAAATACTACATCGTGGACAATAAATACCTGAATCTTCCTGGCTTTATCACTCCGTATCATGGTGTTACAACTAACAAAAGAGAAGAACCAAAGGAGATATTCAACGAGCGGCACAAGTTGTTGCATCGAGCGATTGGCCGAACTTTTGGAGCATTGAAAGAACGATTCCCGATTCTACTATCAGCTCCTCCGTATCCTCTACAAACACAAGTGAAACTGGTGATTGCGGCCTGTGCATTGCACAACTATGTCCGCTTGGAGAAACCTGATGATCTAGTGTTTAGGATGTTTGAAGAAGATGCAATGGCGGAAACAGAGGAAGAAAGAGGAGTGCCGTTAGAGGAGGATCAAGGAGAGGTAGAAGGACACGAACATGGGTTTAGACCAGAAGAAGTTGATGCTAGTTTAAGATTAAGAGATGAGATTGCATCTGATCTCTGGAACCATTATGTCCAAAATTTGTCTACCTTTTAAATTTAAATTAAGCTTCTTATGTTTGTCAAATAACACTAGTTATGTTTGTTAAGTATCTTTACTTACATCAAATCAAATATCCCAAACATCAAAAGTATAATCACACAAATCTCAGGGGGGAGAGACCACCAAATAATAAGCAGTAGAAGAGTAAATAACGTAGGAGAGATCTAAAACCGGCACTTTGGCTCAAGAGATGACCGCAGCTTTTTGCTTTTTCGTAATCCATTTCCGCTTTGCGTTCTGTATAGCATCCTCTTTCAGCTTCAACAGATCTTGGAAGGACTGGTTAAACTGTGACTCGATCAGGTTCAGTTCAGTCTTGAGGTCTTCTGGGTAATCGTTTTCTGAAATGGAAAGAGAGTAAATGGTTGACATCATTGAGCAAGAATCCAGAAACGAGCTCATTGACTCTGCCTCCTGACGAGCTTCCATGGCAGCACTTCCGTGTGACGAGAAGGGTAAGTAATAGTCTGCTGATATGTCTGATCTCATTGATTCTCCTGCAGCTTCTTCGTCTTTCGAGTTCACAGTTTGCTGATTTGGTGCTTCATGATCCTCAAGGGATGCTAGACGTGGAGAGTTTTGATTTGGATGCGATGAGGTCCGGTCAGAGATAAGTTGCATTATCAAGTCATCGATCATATCAGCTATCACAATCACCTCTTGGCTTGTTAGATGTAGTTCCTCAACCATTTCCTCAGCGATTGCTGTTGCTGTGTCTGAGTTTAGAAAGAATGAAAAGTGTACGATTCTACCTTTACCTGAATTACGACATTTAACTGAGTCAGTAGATGAAAACTGCGAGAAGAATGAATTGGATACACGATAATTTTTTTAAAAGAACGAACCAGATGAGTCAGCGATACGCAGAAGCATTGATGCAGTGATATCATCACTCCTCTCTCCTCTCAACCTGAACTCTTTATTCTCTGCAAACCTCTGAAGTTCAATGGTTTGGTACCATTGGTATTCTTCGTTGCTTTTCCGAGAGGAGCAAATGGAGACACTTTTATTCTCATTATGATCCACATCCATGGGAAGATGTTCTAGCTGTGGAGGTCTCACAGGTTTAGATGCTGTGCTTGATGAACCAACAAGAGCAGAGTCCTTGCCTGCATCTCTTGCAAGGAACGGGTCCATCGAGAGCTCAAACGCAGTTGGTCTCGAATCGGCAGGAAGAAGACATTTCTCTATGAATTGCCTAACTTGAGGATCATCAACTCTGCTGAGAGATTGAGGCTTTATACCCTGCAAATGCATAGTTTCAAAGAGGAGCCCAGCTTCAAAAACAATTTTGGTGAAATTCAAGATCGTGGAAGACTTACCGAGGTGACCTTTTTATAAATTTGAGCCTGGTTCCTGCACTCGTTGTATGGATATTCACACGTTACCATCTCCAACATACACATGCCAAAAGAGTAGATGTCCACAAGCTCGTTGTATTCCTCTTCATACAATTCAGGTGCCATGAATTCAGGAGTACCTGTGAATAGGCTCAAGAAATCTTACGGTCAAAATTGCCAAGGTCGAGGAGTGAAGATTATGTTTAATGGTATATACCTATCACACTTCGAGCAGTGGGTTGCTGCAGTACAGTTGCGAGCCCGAGATCTCCAATTTTGACCTCTCCGGTATTTCCATTGACAAATATATTGTCACACTTAAGATCTCTGTGAATTACAGGAGGGTTCTGAGAATGCAAATAGTTCAAGCCTTTGAGAATCTGCCTTGCCCAGTTCTTGATGGCCTTGGGATCGACCTTCCTATGCTTCTTACGATACCTTTGCATTGAAAGAAAACGATGAGATGAAGAAACAAAAAAAAATGTAAGGAGCATCGGAGAGAAGAGAGAGACTTACAGCCTAAGACTACCAGAGGTGAAGAGCTCAGTGATCATGTTAATGGTCTTGTTGTTTTCGTCAACCCAAGAGTTAAAGAGTTTGATAATGTTATCATGTTTTAGAGCTTTGAGTAGATGAACTTCAGAATATAACCTTTCAAGTTGACCAGGCATCTGCATTACATCTTCAATACTGACTAGGTTCCAAGCAACTTCAATGCCATCTACTTCGTCAAAGGCCTTATATCTGAATTTGTAATTGGAAACTAAGTTAACATCACAATCAGAATCATTTGCCTTAGAAAAAGCATAAAAGGGAGTAGAAGCACATACACAGTCTTGAAAGCTCCTCTCCCCAGGACATCATCATACTGAAAGATGAGAAACACAATAAACCCAAGAGAGATTCCAAGAAAAAGGAAATGCAACATGATCCTAAGCGGGGATGTTGAAACACATAACAACACACGCAAGATTTCTACAAAGCCAATAATCTAACACCAGAAGTTGAGATTAACATTCAAAACCTAAACAATTTCCTCATAATTAAACAATCTAAAACCCAAGCAAGCGAGACAGAATGATCTTACCCTGATGTAGCGGCCAGTGGGATCTTTCTCGGCGAATTCAGCTTCTTCCATCCCCTGATCTAAAAATCCAGAACCAGAAGCCATCTATGCACAACAACAAACCAAACCAAGAGAAACAAACGAAGAAGAAGAAAAGCAGAGGAGGAGAACTC